TTTCAAACAAAACCAAGGAAAGTAGATCTAAGACTATTAAATCAACTAACATGCTGTCCAGGAACTAAACCATTGCATTAAGCAATAAATAACACTCGATTTTTATTATATCAACTAACATGCCATCCAGGAACTAAACCATTGCATGAAGCAATAAATAACACTCGATTTTTATTAAATCAACTAACATGCTGTCCAGGAACTAAACCATTGCATTAAGCAATAAATACCACTCGATTTCAAACACAACCAAGGAAAGTAGATCTAAGAAGGATTACAACTCACAAACTATTTTTTCCCATTCAATAGTTGAGAGATTCAATAGAAAAGAAACATCACGCAAACAAACTTGGGGCATGGGACACTATAAAAGGAGACAGATCTAAGAATGCATATTCGAATTCTGGCTGCATAATAAAATGGGAGAACTGCCCAGTTTGATTTTGGATACCATACTTCATCAAAATAGGGGAGGAAAAAAGAATTTTCGCATCATAAAAAAAACGAATTCATGTATCATATTTATCAATGGAGGGAAACGTTTCAAGGTAAAACAGTGCTACATGGAATCAGAAAATGTGTTTTCCAAGATTTCAATCAAATTGGCCATATTAATGAAAAGCTTAGTGATTACAGGACCCTATTCCAGCCCCATCTCCTGGATTTAGGTCTCAAAAATCCAGCTGAAATTTACTAGTCACAAGTTCTGCATTAATTCAAATGTCCAATAATCCTAACTATACTAATAAAAAATCTAGTCACTACATAACCCGATTTAATAGTTTTGGTCCGGGATTTAGGACTTAGAAATCCATCTGATTCTACTAATCACAAGTTCTGCATTGATTTATAAAGAAGCTAATTTTGATACAGTTGCTTAACGGTTTTCTAAAGAAATCATAGGAAACTGCATATATTCATAAAAATCAGCAACAAGGTCATATAAGAATACACGATTTACAACAATCTAATGATTACATCACCCAATTCCAATCGAAGAGACGATTTTACTAATCCTGACTAAATATTGCAACTAGGTAACAAGAAATACGAAAGTAACATCTGCAGAAATAATGGTCCATCCTATACAAGGAATAATAGAGTTATGGGGGTGTTTGTGTCTGTACACATTTCTCTATAGTACAGAGAATATGCATTTTACAATAATGTCAATAATTCAAACCACAGGAACTTCCAGAAAGCATATTCATATTGTATAAAGAATCATATTTATAAGCAAATTCAAAGGCATAGGTCTGGGATGCGATTAGAGAAAAAAAGTAGTCCCTCTTTACTCAACTTCCACAGATCACATACTACTTACTTTTCTTGAATATAAGATTTTTGAACAGTCTCCCTTTTCTTCTCGTTTACGTCAGCAGATTCCCCTGTGTTATTGCACCAGTAAAGATATCATCACTCATCTAATATAAAAATTAAAACTTCAGTTAAAAATGTTTAAACACAAAACAAAAAAAGAATATAAATACACTGATAGGAAAAATAGCAAGATTACCCCCTTTTTTTTGGGAGGTACATAAAAAAACTTTGTCCAAAATGACCAAAATACACCTGATGCTTTCAAAAGCACTCCCCATATACTCAAGAGTGAAGAAAAGACCCATGCCAGCAGAATGATTGCAAGCAGCTTATAGACAATCCAAGTCTCACAAACTACGAGCTTCCCTATTACATTCAAGAGAAGACAGATATTCCCAGGAACCTTCATATTTTATTTTATTTTTGCTGCAAACTGAAACCCACTACTTCAAATAAAATGATCATAACAACCATGATTTCTTTTATGATCACATAATTGAATGGAAACAAAGCATCAAACTCACAAGTAGACCTGATTAGCATTCAAGGATCACTCCTCTCTCTCGTCTCATGAGGCCCACAAATCCAGTCAGCCCTGATTTAATTTGGCATAAGTAAATACTTTGGTTGGTGGAATAATGTTACGATAGAAATACTCAAGGATTTCAATCTTATGACTGATGAAGCAGTTTCACAGTTCCTGATTTAATTTGGCATAAGTAAATACTTTTGGTTGGTGGAATAATGTTACGATAGAAATACTCAAGGATTTCAATCTTATGACTGATGAAGCAGTTTCACAGTTGTACAACATTAATGTGTTTTCAAGGGTAAAGCTTGATGAGCTTGATTTTACTTGCTCAAGTTACTTGGGAATCTATCTCGTTCAACTCTTGAGAAGGAACTCCCCGCACTAAAATACTTTTGTAAATTTGGGTATCTGGATTTGGTGATTAACTTTTACTTGACATTAGAGTGTTGAGCATTTAATCATGTCTACTTCAGTGCGATCTTTTTATGTGCATTTAATCATACTGTTGACTCCGCATTTAATCATTTAATGCTATGTGCATTTAATCATACTGTTGATATGGAAAGTGCGATCTTTTTTGTACTTCATGGCCATCAATCTTAACTACTTCCTCATCTCTACTCCTATTATTACTAAACTTGCATTCCATATACTATGTCTTAGTCAGGCTAATTTTAAAACCTTTGGATTCTAGAGCATCCCTCCAAAATTCTAACTTTGTGTTGACTATGTTTCCGGTCTCATCGATCAAAACCATGACATATGCGAACAACATGCACCACGATACCTCATCTTGTAAGAACCTAGTTAAGTCGTCCATAACTAAAACAAAGAGATACGGGCTCAATGCTAACCCTTGATGTAGACCTATTATCACTAAAAACTCAATTGTCTCTCCACTAGTTGTTCGTACATTAATTATCGCTCCATCGTACATACTCACACCAAGTCGATGTAGTGTCTAAAGACTACTTTCTTTTCCAACACCTACCAAATCAAATCTCAAGGTACTCTATCATAAGCTTTCTCTAGATCAATAAAGACCATATGGAGGTCTTTTCCCTTCGTCTTAAACTTCTCAATCAATTGCCTAAGTAGGAAAAAGCCTCAGTTGTTGACTTTCCTGGCATAAAACCAAATTGGTTTTCAGGTACATTCGTTTCATGCTTTAGTCGTTGCTCAAACACTCTCTCCCAGAGCCTCATAGTATGGCTCATAAGCTTGATCCCTCAATAGTTCACATAATTCTGTATGTCTCCTTTGTTCTTAAAAATAGGTACCACAATACTTTTCGTCCATTCATTTGGTATTGTTTTTCTTCTCAAAACTTTGTTGTACAGCTTCGTCAACTAGTCAATGCCAATCTCCCCCATGCACTTCCAAACCTTTATCAGGATACCATGTAATCCTAAAGTCTTTCCTATTTTCATCCTTTTCGAAGTTTCTTTCACTTCCGACATCCTAATCCTACAAATGTATCTATGACCTTCGGCCTTATTTGTACCAACAGTTCCTTCTACCCCTAAGTTCCTATTGTGTTCGTCATTTAATAATGGGAAAATATCTCCGTACCCCCTATTTTTAAGTTTCATTTCTCAATAGACCAGTGTTCGCAAAACCGGCCAATCTTACCGCTAACCAGCTGGTTAGATAGGAACCAAACTAGCCGATTCCGGTTTTGGGCAGTTTTGATGATCAACTGATATTTTAAACTTTAAATAAAATACTAATTCAAATTTATATCAAATACATTAGAATGGTTTATTGGTTAACTTTGATGATTAAGTTTTATATGAATCATGGTTCGAATCCCACCACCAGTGAGCTTTCTTTTAAGAATTCATTTTGTTTGTACAAACCAATTACGGTTTTGGTGATCAACCGATATTTTAAACTTTAAATAAAATACTACAAATTTATATCAAATACATTAGAATGGTTTATTGGTTAGCTTTGATGATTAAGTTTTATATGAATCATGGTTCGAATCCCCCCACTAGTGAGCTTTCTTTTAAAAATTCATTTCGTTGGTTTAAAAAATTTTAAGAATTCATTTCGTTGGTTCAAAAAAATTAAAAGAATTCATTTCGTTGGTTCAAAAAAATTTAAGAATTCATTTTGTTGGTTCAAAAAAATTACTTACCCATTGGAATCGAACTAAAATCCTCTCTTAAAAGTAGTCCGAACTAGAATCCTCTCTTAAAGTAGTCCTTTATTATCAGACCCACTAACCAATACGTCATTTACTACTTAGTTGATAAATACGCCCTTTAATTCTTAGTTGTTAAATACTTATACATAATATAGGCACTATTTTTTTATCAACTATAACTTAATTTCTTCATTTTCTTTTAAATAAAGAGTTGGTCAAGTCGATTTTTTAAACACTATTTTAATATTATTTACATTATGGTAAAAATTTAAAAAAAAATTGGTCATTGATACTCACTTTTATATTTTTCCATCTTTTTCAAAAAAATTTAAAAATACCCCTAGGCACAAATCGATTCGGTAAGTCCATTTTTTTCATTAATTTTCAACTTCATTTGAGTGTGTTTTGTTTTAATCACATTCTTTATATGCTTTAGTAGATTTTTTTGTATCTTTTTTATTGTTTTCAACACTTATTTTTATCGTTCAGAACTTGCCCGGTTAGAGCGGTTGAATCGGCCAGACTACCGGTTGGCCGGTTAAATCGCTTCCGGGCCCATGTCCGGTTAACCGTTCCGGTTCGATTTTCGAACACTGTAATAGACCCAAGTTTTCAAAGTATAGCATGGGGCATGAAGATACCATATATTATATCTTCTAACCCTCTGAACCAAATTTACCCACCCTATTTTTTTAGCCCAAACAAGCCTTAAAAAAGACATGTTCTTTAAACCCCATCCTCTCCCTTCATCCCCTCTCTCTTCAAGTGATTCTCCCAAAATGTCTCTCTTTCTCTCTCCATATTTCCACCATCTCCCTCTCTATCTCTCGACCTCTCTTACTATTCGATAGATTCAACTGACCTAAATTTTCATAGTCTTTACTTGAATCTGTCAAATTTCCAGTGAGATAGTTATCTTGGAGCTCGACCTGAATAAGATTTGAGAGAGAGAGAGCAAACCTTTTGGGATCGAGCCATTCAAGTAATTATGTCCCATTCTAATTCTAACGAGAGAAACACATTCACCAAGGGACTCTGGTATTGGACCGAACAAGCAGTTGTTTAGGGTTATTAGAGGGGTAAGCTTTCCACCATAGCAAAGTGAGGTGGAACGAACCAGGGAACTTGTTTGATGAGACATCAAAAAGAACAAGATTACCATTCATTCCAAGTTGGCTTTTTTTTTGAAGTTGTACCATTCATTCCAAGTTGTTGAGGAACACTCCCTGTAAAATTGTTCTCCCACAGCTGAAGGACCTGGAGCTCAGGCAAATCCCCAATAAAACCAGGGATTGAGGAGTGAAGCCGATTTCGGAAGAGATTTAATAGGGCCAGTTCTTGAGCTCCGAAAACTCCACAGGGATCTATTCATCGAAAACTCCACATGGATCTATTCATCAAGCATGTTATTGCTCAGGTCCATGGATTTCAAGCTCTTCAAGCTTCCAAGCTCTGGTGTAATCAACCAAAAAAGCCATTAACCTGCAAAAACAGGGTGTCGAGCTTGAGGCCATTGATCTTTAATATCATTAACTGCCATTAAAGAAGTTAGAGAGATTGAGAGGCTTGAGGTCGTCGATCTGGGATATTTCCGGTGCGATCCCGTCGGTGAACTGGTCAACTGTGAGGTTCAAGTTCTGGAGAGAGTTGTCGAGGTCTATAATGGCGGTTTTTAGAGAGAGAAGGTTGGAGTATTTGTTGGAGTGAGAAGAGATGGAAAAAGGGAATACGGAGATTGAGAGAGAGAGAGAGAGAGAGAGATGTTTTAGGAAATCACGTGAAGAGAGGATGCGGTTTAGAAACGGTATATATTTTTAAAATTTGTTTGGGATAAAAAAAATAGGGTCAAAGTTAGTAAAATAGATCCAAGGGGTTAGAAGATATAATACATAGGATCTTCAAGCTCAAAGATATGTTTTGAAACCTTGGGTGTATTGAGAAATGAAAGTTAAAAACAGGGGGTATAGAGATATTTTCCCTTTAATAATTTTTGAAAATAAACTCTCTACCTTTCATTGACCTCGACATCCCTTACCAAGACCCCTTTGATCCACACTCTTAATGCATTTAATATGGTTTAGATACATACACTCTTTCTCTCATATTTTTGCTAATTTGAAGACATCTTTTTCACCTTCTCTTGTTCCTAGTTTATTCTAAAGATTATCATATGCCTTAAGTTTAGCTTTACTTACTATTTGTTTAACGTTTTTCTTAGCATTTTTATATTTTTCTAAGTTTTGATCGTTTCTATTACACTGCCAAATTTTATAACATGAACGTTTTTTCGTTAATGGCCCTTCTGAACCTCATCACTCTAGCACCAAGTTTCTATATCAGAGTTTCTTTTCCCTCTAGATTCTCCTAAAACTTCTTTTGCCACT